TTTTATCCAAAGTGTCCATCAGAAGAGAGGATGTTACTTTATATTTGAATCTGTATCGACTCCTTCCTATTATGAGGAGTTGCTTCATTTGAACACAAGATCCTTACTTGCTATTTATTCATGAAGGAGTTTACCTATAAGTAATTATATATAAATTTTGACATTTCTTTGTAAGGATCTTGAAAATTTATTCTTAGTGCCCTTTCTTCAAACCCTCAATTCGGAAGGTGTTAAAAGTCCTGCTCTTTTGAAGCTGCCTTATCTCTATTGCAAACTTATTCTCCAGTACGTGTTCAACAAAAGTCAAAGATGTGTCCTGGTCAAAAGACTTCTGAATTGGTGAGAGTCCCCACAGGAGGTCGTGGGTCACTTAAAAATACATCTTTATGCTGGAAAGAGACAAGTGTGCTGCTATGGAAGGCTGTGCCGCCCATCCCAACCAGTGGCTCCTTGCCGTTCTGCAAGAGCTCTGCAGGGATGAAAAACAATGCCCTCACAGTTCAAACTCTATATTCTATTCCATTTTAAGTTTCATTTTATTTGTACCTTCAATAACAATGTATTTTGAGGTCCACTGTTTCTTAAAAGTTGTAAGCAGACTTTTTCTCCTGATGCTAATAACATGTTCTTTAAAATCAAATTCCTCTGTGTAGAATCGAAGAAGTCCCAACCACAGCTGCCCAACAGATTCTGTATTTTTCCCATATTCTGGCCAATAGATGGGCTAGAAATAGAAGGGAACAAGAGATATCATGCTCTATAGTAAAGTGTTAATATCTACCTTCATTTGTATCTTAGGGAGTAAGTTTGGACTTATTTTAATTAACTGGAATTTAAATAAAAACATAATAACATAACTTTTCTTTCACATTTAAAAATACCATTTATATAAGTTTATTAATCTCTACCCTGTGACTTCGAGACAGGGAGAGCTCAGGGTTTTAAATGTCAAACTCCAGAATGCATGTTTGTGGAAGAATCTGGAAATAAATTTTAAGAGCCTTGATGATGCCCGGGTTATTAGATCTTTGAACTCAATGAAAGTCTTTCCAAACTCTGAAAATCACTTGGCAAATATTTGTTCACTTGGAATAAAGTTACACAACCATTTGGAATTGACAGGCATTAAAGAAATCCTAGATACAGTCCCTGGAAACTCACCTGGCTTAATAAAAGTGTTTTCAACTTCGGAGGGAACATCTATATATGCTAGTTTTTTACTATCATAATATAAATAAATATAACAGGTGATAATATAGTTGTTGACCACTACATCACAGCATAGTACAGCTAACTTTTAGTCAAGGATGTAAAAAAATCTTTACTCTTAAAATACGTACCAGTTCATCTATTTGATCAAAAAAATAAATATTCCAGCCATCAACAAATATTTCAGGTTTCTTTTCACCTTTGTATATCTGAAATTAATTTTTAAACTATTAGTATGGATTACAAATTTAATGCATTGATACAAAAACTTGTAGGAAAATAGTTAAATATTTAACTACAGAACCACAGATATTAGAGAAGGAAGAGGGCTCAAAGGCAACGCAGCTTTACAGATGAGCAACACAATTTCTTTTACTAATACCTCTTGAAGGACAGGAATGACTGGTGGATTCCTCTGCTGGAGAAAATATAGCACCATAAGTGTGTATGCGTATGATGATAAGCTGCCTCTAGATGCATCACCAATATCACACATCTAGAGGGAAGGAAAATGAGGAACAAAGGAAAGATCACCAATGTTTTCTGCTAAATTTGCAGCTACCCTATTATCACTAAAAGTAAGGTGCTTCTATAGGGCATTAATGTAAAAATAACACCTTCAAATGCTAAAATATACCAACAAAACCAAATAAGACCAACCAAAAGGATGTCAAAAACAAACCAAAGAAAAACCCAACCATCAGTCACAAGCAAGATCAGATTATCATATGTAAAATTTAAGAGGACAAAATTTTAGCTTGCCACGGCAGGCTTCCCAAAGTAGTTAAAGGAAGCATTTAACATGGCCATGGTTCTTTAAAAAATACAGACTTATGTTTTCAACTAGGTTTGAAGATGCAGTGAAATTTCCTGATGAATCCCAACAGGAAGCATACTCACCTTTGTAAATACTTTCATGGTATAGCATAAATATTTCACTCTGGGATCAACGGCTGAATAAGCAGATAAGAGCCTTGTGTTATGAAGGGCCTGTTAAAAGGAAAATTATTATAAGGGATCAATTAGAAGAAAAAGTTTTAGGCTGGAATATTCTGAAAAGGCTTACACTGTAATTCACTTTAGGTTGAACACATTTAGACTGAAAGTAATATTTTTTTCTCCAAAACTGAGCTTCATTAACTTACTAGATAAGAATTATAAATGACATCTGAGCTCACAACTTCCATTATGTTAATATGTCCTTAGTCTGAATATTCCTAGAAATAAGGGCTATTAAGATAATTCTGTCTAAGCAGATGCTAAGAGTCCCCCACCTCACCCTGGCATTATTTAAACTGAATGCCCCCAGGGTCCAGAGAAGGTCCATAAAGCCCCAAAGCAAACCAAGTATGAGACCAAAGACAGACAGACACTCCAAAATGAGCTCTCTCTCTCAAATAAATAAAATCTTAAAAAAAAAAAAATTCAAGCCAAACTAAAAGCACCTGCCACTCTGACCTCATTTTAAATAAATACTAACAACTCTCTGTTATATCCCCAGTCTCAGAACACTGCCAGGCACACAGCAAGCTCTCCTAAATAATGATCAAAAGAATGAATAAGATAAAAATAAATGGCTTAATTCTACTTGAGATTTTGTAAATTAAGAGACATTCATTCCCCTCGATCTCCCTAAAGAAAAAGCCTAGAGAAAATCTTACCAGTGTGTTATACAAACTGATGTCCACTTCCAAACCACTTCTCAAATGGAAGAACTTTACAATTGGCACCTTTGCTGTTGTAATAGGCAAGATGTTTCTCAGACCTAGGTTGGGAATAAGATAGTATTGTTATATATAGCAGCTGGGCCATAAGCTACTCTTGTTAATGTTCCAACATAACTTTGGCCTGTTTCACTGCAGTCACTAGAACTACTCAATTCTGTTATTCAACATGTGGGAAGACTTTTCTGGCAAAGTTTATTAGTTAAACACATCGATATCTGAAGAACAAGGATGAACAAGGCAGCCAGTGCCCTCCAAGAGCTCATTGGATCGTGTGCGTGTATAGGGCTGTCAGTCTGATAATCCCCAGAACAGAAGAAACTACTACAGAGTCCAGGCTACGTGGACCCTTCCTATTCTCTCCACCTGACTATGTCTAATATAGAGAAAAGCCTTTGGGGCAATCATCTGAATCCTCGAAACAAAAATTACTTACCACAGAGCTAGAAGTTAAGACAGTAAAAGAGAGGAATCAACGTTGATAGGAGAGGAGGAAATTGCCTGAACTAGGCTTTGAAAAAGGAGAGTGAGAGGTAAAGATAGAGGCGGCTGAGGGGATTTAGCAGGCAAGGAAAAGTACACAGGGACAGGGCAGACGCCTAAAGCAGAAGGGCATGCTCGAGAACTTCCATGGAATTGTGAAGGCTATAGAGTAGACTTGAGGGAAAGGAATAATGAGTGATAGGAGGTGGGGCAGAAACCAGGAAGAACCTAAATAGAGAACATATATATCACCCTGCTAAGAATTATCCTTAGAGACAAAGAGACACCAATGAACTATATAAGTTGGGGAGAATCACTGACCACATCTATCTGGACAACGCCCCTGGCAATGGACAGACTGGACACAACTGCCAGAGGGGCAGGGTGACCATTATGAAAAATGATCTATCTGGGCCTCAACAATCTTGGTGGTATGGGGATGCAGAGAAGCAGCAAGACATGCTTCGGAGTATGTATACCTGGATGGGCTAGGGAAGCGGAGGTAAGCAGTAGAGGAAGTGGAGACGGGTGGGGGGGTGGATAAGGGAGAAGAAGGAGGGCTATAAGAGTAAGAACTACCAGTTCCTGCACACCCAGAATCCTTCACAAACATTACCTCCTAAGAATGTTCACCCTCACCCAACAGAAGAGAGGACAAAGCCCCAGACATATTAACTTGCTTAGGAATATGGAGCTAGTAAGTTGCAGAGCTAAAATTTGCACGTAGGTGTGACCAATTCCAAACTTCTACTGAACCTATTCTAGGATGAATTAGTTATCCCTTCACCCATTTTGGTGATTCCAAGGATGTCAATGTCAATAACGGAGAAAGTGGATTCAGAAGGAAGGGCAGGTAGTGGAGGTTGCAGCAGAAGGAAGGCAGTAAAGAGAAAGAGGAGTTCATTCTCAGATGGAGCTGGAGTTTCTTCTCAAAGAGCTAAGTGGTGTGATCCAGAGCTCAGGAGAAAAGTACGTAGATGATAGAAAAAAAATCAGAAAAAAAAAATCTGTGTGGGAGACAGAGGAGATCTAACTTTTACTGATGGGGGGGGCGGCAAGGAAGTTCATAGTTGCTAAATACCTGGCATATGCTAGATCCTGTACGTTAATGTACATCTTTCTTAACCTTAAATGCTATTATTGTTATTCTACTTTGTAGATGAGGAACCAAGCACTTATAATGAGGTTGAGTGTCCTTCTGGGAACACACAGCCAACAAGTGGGGAGACAAGATTTAAAACAAGAGAAATCTGATTCCAGAACCCCCACCAACTATTCTGCTATACTGTGTCTAAATTAGATCGCCTTACACTCCATTTCCTTCCCATTCTAGAATTTGACACTGTTGCCCATTACCAATCTGTCCTCTACGGTTTATTCACAGCACATTGTCCTGGTTCTTGTCATTCCAATGGCTCTTTTTTCAGTGTCCTTTCTTAATTTCTACCCACAGAAATTTAGTCCTAAACTTCTCTCAAATGATCCCTTAGAATTGTTTTATTCTTGGTCTCTCTCTCTTCAAGGATTTCAATGCAAAATTGTTTTGTTCTTCAATCCTGACTGACAACTCCATATTTCTAATTGCTTGCTGGACTTTTAACTCTTGATTATACCTTCATGGCAAACTACACACCTCCACGTGGTGTCCTCTACAAACATTCCCATTTCTCAAGTACCCAAACATCAGTCTGAACCCTTATTTCCTACTTGTAGGTACCAAATCTCTCCTATTCTTTTCCTTTTAGGATCATTAGCACCTGGTTAAGGTCCTTCTGCCCTTAGATTCACTTAGATTATACCCTCCCTGAGAGACTCTACCAGCTGCCAAAAAAGCTTAAGTTTTGTGTTTTTATTGGGTTGCTCCTCTTTTGGAAGAAACTTCACTGGTTTCCAAATATCTACAGACTTTACCTCATCTAGTAATAGGAACCATGCGAAACTCCTCTCTAAATGTACTGATCCTCCCACTGTCCTCCCAAATATACTACAGTAACTCTCATGTTCACATGTATGTACTCTCAGGAATGACTTCTCTTCTGGGAGAAGATCCTTCTCGAATCCGATTCATCATCACCTGGGATCAGAATAAACCCATCTCCTGCATGAATCTCCCCTATGCAACTCTTTCCCAGAATCTCTCTCTCTTCAGAACTTATTGAATACTTATAATAGCTTCTGACTCATTCTGAAAAATGAATACTACCCTACATTATTACATGGCCTGTCAGATTACCTCCCCTTTCTTTAAATCTGAAAGTTGCCCAAGGAAAAGACTTGTACAGACTTATTTTATTTTTCCACCATTCCTAAGTGCCCAATATAGTGCTGAGCACACAGTAGGCACCCAATAAGACAGGTGGGGACTGTTTTAAAGATACTAGGTTTCAATCATAGCCCTTTAGCTATTATTAAATTCTTGTTCCATGCAATCTGTGTTCCATTACCATTATCTGTGTGTATAAGTCCTTTCTGTCTAAAAATGACCTGTTTTTAATATGGTTCATTCTTAAGATAGATACACTGCTATATTTAGGGGAAAGGAACATGTCTGCAGTTTAATCTCAAATGGTACAGAAAAAATTGTGAGCAAGCAAGAAAGAGAATAAATCGAATGTAGTAAAATGTTAATAGCTGGTGGATTTGAATGAAGGATACACAGAGTTTGTTATACAATGTTTGCTGCTTTCCTCTAAGTTTTAAATGATTTCAAAACAAAAAGTCAAAATCTAGCTCAGTACTAAATAATTAATAATTGTGGCAATTGAGCAATTTAGTTTCTCTGCATAATCTTCAAAAAAATTTAAAAAGCTCATGATCTTTAGAGGTAAAATTCCCAAGTGAGGGGAATGTGTATTTCAGTGACCAAAAAATATTATCAATGCACCTCAAAAAAAATGCTAATGTTCTAGGTTAACTTTCAGAGGGAATAAGCTGAAATTAACATTGTTTTTCTTGTTATTTAAGTAACATGGTATCCTTTTTATTTAAACTCCTGGAAATAAAGTACAAAAAAAGGAGGGGGTAGCACTCAAGGTGTATGTTTGTGTGTTGCTATATGTGTGTACTCATGACGTTAATGTTAAGTCTACTCTTGATAGAGATAAAAGAAAGCATCGCATGGACAGACCATGGAAGTTTTGTGGGATTACAGACCATACTGTGTTCACCTTCATTCCCAGCTCCTAGCACAGAAATTTGCTGAACCACATTATTCCCACTGTTCATAGCATCCATAGCTGTCCCTGACAGCCAAAGAATATGTTAATGGCATGTCAGCACTGTGCACAATGTACAGCATCTGTACACTTTACAGCTATAAATATTTAGAAGTGCCCCAGTTCAGTTTTCTCAATTTATTGGTGAGAGAAAAAGAGATCAAGTAGAGTTAAATGACTGTTCAGGGTTGCATACAATTGTCGAGCAGCATAGCTACGAATACAGTCCATAACCCCAGTGCTTTCCGCTCTGCTTCACACTGATTCCAGCAACATGGGGACAGATACAAGTCAATACAGCAAAACGGGTTTCCAAAATTTCTTACCTGTATGCTATATGCTTTGTTTTGAAATAAAACTAAGCTAGGCAACAATATGCACACAATGATTACCTCAGTCTTTCATGCTTTATCATGCTTTATCACACAAAATTTTTTAAAGACACCGATACTGCAAATGTGCTATAGATGCGCCACTATACTGTTTCATTGGCATTGATAAATTTTAAGTATGCAAAACACTAATAAAAAAGACAAAAATATTTTTAGACAAAATTTGCAGAGGTACCTGAATGTTTTTTGAGGACTCTTGCCAATTCTTCAATAGTTCGTACACAGTCCAACCCCTGCAACAAAAATTGCACATACTGACTCAAAAAGGGAAGACAGGTTCCAAACCTGGTTACAGATAGTTTCCATTACCTTCAGAAATAATGATATTAACTTCAACTCATTCTATATACATTTTTCCCTTTTAGGCAAGCCTTGGTCAGTATTCATAGGAAATAGCCTAAGGATACAAAAACTCCCATAGACCCTATTTACTAATTGTCTTTGGAGGTACAACAGAGGCTGAAATCAGATGCCCCAGAAAAGTCTGAACCATTGTCCAAGTGAGGACCTCCATTTTTCCCCTCTATGTAACTCTGTTATTCAGAAGGGCCCTCTGTGCCAGAATAAAGAAGGAGCTTCTGTGCCCCAGTTTATTAATTATGGGTGGACTTTCATTATATTTCAGTTAAGAGCTGAGGAACTGCTGTGGAAAGTGATTAAGCTCAGATGATCTCTCCATAGGACTGTGCATGATGCACAAATGAAAGTCATACAGCAAATACAAATGTTTCAAATAAATTATACTTAAAAACACTGGGCGTACCTTTTACAACATAAACCCTTTTGATGGCTATACACATCCCAGAATGTATTTGAAATTTTCCTTCAGAAATGTCCATAAAGCTCATTTCCGAGCCATGTAAAAATTCAATATTGATGATGCACAATTAGGTAATTCCATATACTGGACCCAATCTTGCTTATCCTCTTTACTCACCAAACTCAGGGTAGATAACTTTTGGCTATTTTCCCAAACCAGATACATCCTCAAAAGACAAAGACTTGAAAGTAAGGAAAGACATAAAAAGATCTTGAGTGACAGCAGCTCACTCATTTGGCTATACAGTGTTTGGGCTGTTGTTAAAAATAAAAAAAAGAGGGGCGCCTGGGTGGCTCAGTCGTCAGGCGTCTGCCTTCGGCTCAGGTCATGATCCCGGGGTCCTGGGATCGAGCCCCACATCGGGCTCCCTGCTTGGCAGGAAGCCTGCTTCTCCCTCTCCCACTCCCCCTGCTTGTGTTCCCTCTCTCATTGTGTCTCTCTGTCAAATAAATAAAATCTTAAAAAAATAAAAAATAAAAAAATAAAAGGGACATTGCACTTCTCAGACTTTATACTTTTATGTAGTATTTTATATTTTATAAAGGCTTCATATTTGTCAGGGGCTAGCAAATCTATTCTGCTCTGCAAACTGTATGACCCTGCTGTAACTACTCGACTCTGTCGTTATAGAGTGAGGCACAGGCTGTCAACACTTCACGAATGGAGGGACAGGACTGTGCTCTGTATTGACAAAACAGGCAGTAGGCTGGATTTAGCCTATGGGCAGTAGGCTGCTGACTCCTGACATACATGATCCTACCTGATGTGCACAACAATCTCCTGAGGCAAGAGGAACAGAAGGTACTCTTTCCTTTTATAGATTATCAACCAAAGACCACATGTTTACGGACATATGAAACCAAGCTTGTCTCGAATCTGGGTCTCTGAACCGTACGTTTAGCGCTCTCATCATGGTACCACATTTAGCCTGCCTGCTAAATAAGTCTCAGAAAACCACACTGCCTGCCTCCTAAAATACTTTTCAAAAAGCCTTATGTGGGTGTGTGCATCAAAGTCCACCTACTGGCCAATGGACACTGGAGGGGCTGGTTTGGCTTTGTACTGTTCCCACAGGCTGCTTTCAAATCTGCTTTGTACTATAGGTTGAAAATACAAGCCCTGGTACCTCCTCATGTTTACCTCTAAGATTAAGTATTTGACCAGAAAGACTGTGCCAAATGACGTACTTCATATCATATGCGCTTATAAATTTGGAAACTACCAAGCTGTACTGTCAGTCAAGATTGTCAAATCACACTGCCACAGCAAATTCAAGTTTTATGTGGTCACTGTACCTCTGCAGTTTCAAGTCCATTAATTGTCATACAGACGTCAAGGTCACTCTGTTTGAACCCAAATCCATTTTTGGAGGAGCCAAACAAGCTCAATTTAGTTCCTGTTAGGGATATATGAAAAGTAATAACTAATTACCTGAGTACATTTAATTTTCTGATTAAAACGGCCCTCTCATGAATAAAAAATACCCAGTTGTTAACTATCCTATATGAATCTCATCATAATTATGTTCTTTTATTAACCAGTCATTTATTACAAACTTTTCTCTCAAAATTTACTTTAAATAAATACAATCTGCATGTGGTGTGAAAGATTACCAAGTGCCAAACTTTATTCTTAAATGCAAGGATATTTCAAAGAAAATGTGGATCACATCAATATATTTAATAATGCTTTTTAAATATTCACTTTTTTAGAGATTTAAAAATAACACAAAATGAAATTTCACTTGTGGTGTCTGTTAACAGAAATCCCACACTGCTACTGTCTTTCTCAGTGTGGGATTTCTGTTAACAGACACTACAAGGTAACTAAAGCCCCATCCCCACCATCACCATCCTTTCTCATTCTCAAAGTTAATGTGCTTATAACACATGTATTCATTCTGAAGGAAGGTCATCCTACCTTTCTTTTCTTAAAGGTAAAAAGTTATTTACCTGGAAACTCCTGTCTTATGAAACTTTCTAGGTTTTGACGAATATGTTCACGAGCTTGATCTTCTAAAATAGTTGGAGAAAAATCCTCTGTTTAAAATAAAAAAAGAAAACATTAAGAAACAAAGATTGTTCACATTCTCTGGGGAAAAAATCATTTTTTATAAAACAAAATCTAACAAGTTAAAAAGAAAACTAAATTTTATGTCTAAATTTTAAACTAATTTATGTCTTCTTGGTAGACAGCATTAGTACTATAAAATAGAGGACGTCTTTCTTTGAAAAGAGTCTGTTCCCACCCTCTTACACTGCTGGTGGGAATGTAAGCTGGTGCAGCCACTCTGGAAAACAGCATGGAGGGTCCTCAAAATGTTGAAAATAGAGCTACCCTATAACCCAGCAACTGCACAAAGATACAAATGTAGTGATCTGAAGGGGAACCTGCACCCCAATGTTTATAGCAGCAATGTCCATGACAGCCAAACTTTGGAAAGAGCCCAGATGTCCATCAACAGACGAATGGATAAAGAAGATGTCATATATATATATATATATATAGACAGACACACACACACACACAACAGAACACTACTCAGTCATCAAAAAAATGAAATCTTGCCATTTGCAATGACGTGGATGGAACTAGAGGCTATTATGCTAAGTGAAATAAGTCAAACAGTTAAGGACAATTATCACATGATCTCACTCATGTGGAATTTAAGAAACAAAACAGGATCATAGGAGAAAGGGAGGGAAAAATCAAACAAGACAAAATCAGAGAGGGAGCCAAACCATAAGAGACTCAATCATAGGAAATAAACTGAGGGTTGCTGGAGGGGAGGGAGGTGGAGGGATGGGGTAACTGGGTGATGGGCATTAAGGAGTGCACGTGATATAACAAGCACTGAGTATTATATGCAACTAATGAATCACTGACCTCTACCTCTGAAACTAATAATACATTCTATGTTAATTAATTGAATTTAAATTAAAAAAGGAAAAAAATAAAAAATTAATACTGTATTATACCCCCCCAAAAATAATGAAAAAAAAAAAAAGAAAGAAAGAAAAGAGTCTGTTCCCAGGAGCTGCTACTGAAATAGAAACAAATCTGAACAATGGTTCTGCTCTGAGGTTTCAGAAACCCCGGGTTCTATAAAGGTAGCCCTCAGGGAACTGCCCCAGAGTGTGAACACGGAAGTTTGCAAGCATGCGCATATATATTATTTTCTAAGGGGAATCTAGTTTCCTTTCATAGCTTATAACCTCCAAAAAGGTTTAAAAGCGACTCAGTCACTGTTAACAAGTAAGGGCCTTCTGGCACTGTGATGCACCAAGTTCATCTCAACAGCGGCCTGCCTCTCCTCAGTGTTCTCCCTTTAACTTTAACCCTCTGTCTACCACTGCTTCCCAGAACTGGTATTCCTCAAAAGGGCTGTTAGGGGTCTATTAATTAGTGTTAAAGTATTTTATGCTCAAGTTTTGGAAATGCTGGGATAAAGAGTTAAATAGGTTCTTTTCCATAACATTTCTCAAGGCCTTTATTATGCTAACGTGCCCTGCAAATTTCTCCAGCAGGGAGCCGCGGGTACACTCATTCCCTACTTGGAGTACTTCTTGCCATGAAATACTATTAACTTCACTTAGGAAAACCGTTCAAGGAACACCAGTTGGGAATGCTAGTCCTCCAACGTTAGACTTAAAAGATCCTCCCTCCTTCCCTGTCTTTCCTTCAACAATTGTTTACTGTGGGTCTCAACTGGAACAGGCAGTACACAGAGCTCTGTTGACACAGCGGAGAATGGAACAGACCCGGTCCCAGTGATGGAGCTAACAGGTCAGTGATTCAGAGGACTCTTGAGCAAATGTCAATGCAATATTTGGACAAATGAAATGTTAATAACTTACTATAACACTGGATGCAAACTTGATCTAAGATATTTGAAAATTTGGGTGTCAGTGGTGGCAAAGGTTCCAGTTGAATTCTTTTGAAGTCTTCAGGACAGTCCTTCTTGAGATGACCTTCTCGTTTGCATAAGCTGCACACAACCGTCGGAGACTGCAGGAAGGTGGCAAAGTAAAACAAGACATAATATACAACTCTGCCAAATAAAGGGGTCCTGAATCAGTTTTTTCAAAGTCCACAGTCTACTCTCACTTTCCAAAGGAATAAAAATAATACGCAGTCACTCCAAACGGGGACATCTTTTGGGATACTCAGGAGACAAAGGCAGTAATTTCCACTACCAAGAGCATTCCCTTTCTCCAATGCAAATTTGCATAGGTCTGAGGGAAAGAGATGGAGCAGCTGTACTGGAGTGTAAGACCAACTCCTCACTACCACCCAGACAGGGGAGAGCTCTGTGCTAGTACACAAGAATTAAAACTACATGCATTAAAACTGTTCAGTGTCTCTTAGTTCTGGGAGTGGCACTGATTACCTTGCCTTTGGTGAACGTGAGTTTACTAAATTCATAGAAGAAATCAGACTGATCCACAGTTGAGCTTTCCTTGCATGCACTTTCTTCTTTAAGACAGATCTTATTAAATTCCATTAGTAGAGCCCCATCTGCAGGTGTCCCACCTTCTCTCAAGTCTTTGTACTTAGCAGACCCTCCCACTTCATCCTCCTCCTCAGACAGGGCATCCTCGTCCCCTGACCCCGGGTACGTATTTTCTAACTCCTCTTCATTAGCCAAGTCATCCTCATCTTCCCTTCGGGTAACGGACAGCCTGGGTTCTTCGTCATCCTCCTCTTCCTCCTCCTCCTCCTCTTCATCGGAATGAATGATTCCTGATGTGTGGCCCTGTCTTGAAGGGCTGAAGTGGCTTAGAGCATCTTCAAGATCATTAGCACCTTCCACGCCTTCTTCGTCAACGTCAGCCTTGTCCTCTGAAGTAGTGAATCCATCACACTCTTTGGCTGCAGGATTTTGGAAGCTCTCTAAATCCAAAGTGCTCTCTGTCTCATTATTTTGTGTGCTGCCACAGATGACAAGCTCTCGATGTCTGCTGCTCCTTAAACCCTGATCATCGGCAGTCAAAGGACGCCTGCCCTCTCTCCCAATTTCACTTCCTGTTTCTTGAGGGTGTCCTTTAATATCCTCATACTCATCACAACTGGCCCCTGCCTTGAAACAGTCTGGGTTTTCCAGGTGGACACTGACATGCGCATTTCCCATTTCCTCCGTTGGGGGGCTTCCAAAGCTTTCAGCAGTCTCTTTAAGAGTCAGTGGCTGTACCATGCAGGTATCTGCAGTTGAACTGGCAGCACCTGGCCCCTGAGCCAAAACTGAGCTTTTGAGTTTATCATCTTTTGCTTGTGCAGCCGGGTCATGCTTGGCTACCTCTTTAGAATGTTCAGAAAGACATGTGACAGTACTCAGAGGCTTTGGAAGGCTGGATTTTGTAATTTTGTGTGGAAGAGCAAAATACTTATACGTTGTCCTTAAACAATGAAGTATATATTCAAACACGGGTTGATTATTTAGAGTCCTTGCCACATTTCTTTTAACAGAGTAGGGATCTGTAACAAAAAAAAGAAAGAAAAATCCACCACTTCATACATTTCTATTTCACGTTTTAAAAATTAGCCTGCTGTAGATAAAAACAGACAACCAAACGATACTAAAGTTTAGCATGAATCTTGTATGCTTTTTAAAAAACTGGGGATGGGGAATAAGAAAGGTGTAGTTTAAGAACAAAGAGAAATGTTTTCTTAAACGTCTGCTCTATGAAGAGAACCCATTCTGTTCTGAACCAATACCCCTTCCCTATTTTGTTCTGTGACTGTGGAGGTAAAAAAGGTGTCATTAGTGTGCTTTTGTGCCCTGGGGAAGTGAGGACTTCCCTCCAGGCTCTGCTGAGTGCTCTGCCTCCCCACTCAGCCAGGCCCTGTGGTGTGTAGAGCTTACCTCCACTCTTCTGCCCTGGGAAGCCCCATCACTGAACTGGCTGGACTGAATTCAGGGGCGAGAGGGAGGCACCAGGAGGAGACACCACTTCTCTCAATCTTTTCTCCTCCCCTAGAACTCCAGCAGGTTAGGCAATTGGCCAGAAGAGCTGTGCCAGAGAAACTGCAGGGGAGGGTTTAAAAATGTGAGATCCCCATGACTGCACACAGAATTTATGCAAAATGCAAAAAAAAAAAAAAAAAAAACCCTCTTATGCAATATAAAGCTTGAAAAAAATCAAGCAAAAATACGAGAATTCCATTTAGGAGGTTCTTTAAGTTATTTGAAGGAGGAGAATTAAGATTTCTAGAGGGGTTTCAACCTCCTGACTTTGCAAAGATGAGAAGAGCTAGTCCATTTAATGTAGTCTACAGGGCACATCAGCGAGTCTTTCATACAATGGTTTTAGTTAAATGAGCCTTCGCTAGAAAAAGTGTTTTCATGAATCAGTTCCAAATGCTACTGTAGATATTCCAATAATAATCAGCCCCTCTTTCTATGAAGAGGAATCCAATGAAGAATTATTTTTCATGAGAAAAAGTATTTTCTCACCTTTGTAAAACTAAACGATAACAACAATCCAGGAAAGGACTGAATCTAAAAATCCAGCAAGGAGAACAGTAAAGAGGAAAGGGGGATTCACACATCATGGGGTGGGGGAAAACTCTGTATAAGCGTTTAAGTTGTTAAGCAGTTTATAAAAAAAGCAAGGACTCAGCCAGCCACTGTTTTAGCTTTTTTTTTTCAATTAAGACGTTTTACTGCAGTGCTTAAAAAAACAAAGGATGAACAAACAGTTTGGTCCCTTGGAATGACCACAGTAACACATGCAAGATTCTAACTATTTCACTTTCAGGGTCAGGCCTACATTATGTGTGGAGGCTGAAAGGAGAATGAAGTAAAAAGCATGCGGTTAGACTGGTACCTTAAAAAAAAAAAGGGAATTAAAGATAAACATTTTGAGATACCTTCAATGGCAATGCGCTTTTTGGGCCAATCCTTTGATTCCCGAGATACAGATTCTTTGACACGAATACTGATCACTAAATCAGCCAAATTAAATTCTAAGGCATAGAATCGAAGCATTTCCACCCAGAGCTGCCCAACTGGAACTGACGGGACGTGCTTGAAATCAAATATTAATGATACCTATTAACAGCAAAGAGAAACACACAGGTTAGTCCAGATGTCAGCACAATCTGAGAAACTAGAGATCATTCAAGCAAATTACAAAAAACCTGAAAAACCTTAGCAAAGACAGGAATTTGACAATCCATCTAGGTAAATCACATCTAGGTTATATTTCGTTGGTGGGAAAATGGCATTCCTACCCTGCACTCCTGGGATGAGAGCATGTTAAAATCTAACCATCATCACAGAAGCAGACAGGCAATTTTAGGCAACCAGGTGGCACTCCTTATTTTGAAGTCTTAATGACAGGTGGAGAGAAACGTGCCTGGATTGCTACTCTCAGCACGGAGCTCTCCCTGGCGCTGCCACTGGAGGGCACGTTTACACTCACACACACAAAAATAGGCGGCAGCTATAGGCGGAGAGCAAAAGGCAAAACACTCCTTTCATTTGCTCTGAGAAGCTACATAAGCTCACTGAATCTGCTAGGGACAAATGATTTTAAAGTCAACTTTTTTTTTTTTAAGGTTTATTTATTTAAGTAATCTCTATGCCCAACGTGGGGCTTGAACTCATGACCCTGAGATCAAGAGTCTCATGCTGTTACAGCTGACAGAGCCAGGCGCCCCAAAGTCAAGTAACTCTTGATATCAGAAATTGATGCCGGTTTTACATTCACTGACTCTCGACAAACTGGAATATACTGTGATGGAATATACTAGAAGGTGCATAGGATCTAGAATAGAAACAAAAGAGTCCAAAAACTGACTCTGCCACTTCATAGCTCTTAACTGCTCTTGGACTTAGCCTCTTCACTCTCAGTCGGCATGACAGCATAGTGGCTAACGGAACTGGTTTTGCAGTGGGACACTTTAGGCTTGAAATCCAACTCTGCCACGTACTAGCCGCGTATGATCCTGGCCAGGCTCTATGCTGTCTAAGGCTCAGTTTCCTCATCTGAACAATGGGGATTACAGTACCCACCTCAGAGGGTTGTTGGGAGGACTGAGTGAGAGAATGTCTGTAAAGAGCTTAGCACAGTGCCTGGCACACATGTTCAAAAAATGGTCGCTATCATTATCTGCAGAGTAGGGATGGTACCACCTATAACACAGGATAGTTATGAGGATTAAATGAGAAACAAGGGAAAGCATCCGGCGGATTTGGTTGCTCTCTGTATTCTTTCACTTAGATATAGTCTTTCAAGTACAAGAAATCCATTTATCATTGAAACATAATGTCACAACGGTAAGATGCTCTTGAGAGGTAATCCAGCACAACTTCCCTAAGTTACAAGAGAAAACTGAAGCCCAAACAGTTGACATGACTTGTCAAAGGTCCCACTGCTTGTCAGTGGCAGAACGAGAACAATGTGTCTCGATCCCAGTACTTCGCCATGCAATCAATCTCGACCCTATCTAGGTCTTCATTTCTGAAGTGGTAGCATGACTGCTCTCTCCAAATAGCATGAAAATGTAAACATCGAGTATTTGCTTGGGCTTACAGCAACAGCTTTTCCTTCTCAGGTATACAAATCTGTTGTGCAACATGCTTTATTATACTGAGCTTCAAAACAAGTAGTATAGTATTTTATTAATCACTAAATCCTGACCACAAGTATTCTGTCAAGTATGATAAAGTCATCAGGTAGATTTACAAAGCAGAACTGCCTGAAAACGGAAGTTATCTAGGTCCCGAACACTGTAGATGAGGACACAAAGAAAACCCCCAGAAACTGAAAGCCTCATTAAATTTCACCTCTTTATCCATAAGCCTTATTCAGCATCACTAAGGGCTCTTAAGCATCTCACTGAGATGACTTGATAATACCACAATATGGAACTTACAAAACCTTGGACATATCTACACTAGTGGTACTTAAGCTGTTTTTCATTATTGTTTTTATTCTTTTAAAGTAGGGAACGCTTGCTTTTTCAAAAACAAAAAAAAAGGCAACTAACATTTACTGAGAGTTTACTACTCGCTTGGCACTGAGTTAAGCATTCTAGAAGCCAATGACCCTATGAGAGGGTACCAATATCATCTCCATTTTTAGGTGAGGAAACTGGGGCCTAAGAAGATTAAGTCACTTGCCCATGGACATACAGCCAGGACGTGGGAGAACTGGGATATGAACCCCAAGTAGAAAAGGGAAAAAAGTGGTGGTGTTCTGGTGGCAACAGGGGTTAAATGGCACCACCTCCCTTCTCTCTCCAGCGCTCAAGGATTCGAGAAAACACAACTGGAGAATCTATGATTCACCACCATTTCCCCATTTTAGGCATGGACCTGAGGAGTGACAGGACTTGTTTGAGTAGAGCAAGGACTAGAATCCTGGTCTCAGAAGTCCTTTGTGGGTATTGCTACCATTTCATCCCAGACAGTTACAGGGAAGGTCGTGGAGTCAGGGCCCATACACCAATTTGGGGCAGATTCCTATTCTTATTTCTAGTATAATTACATTGCTCAGTTTTGTTTGAAATTTCAATGGCAATTCTTCCTTTGTGCATAAATTTCCCTGCCTCCCCCTAATGGTACTGATGAGGACACTGAAATACATTATATCGAATACTTCTTCACTTTGGATTCAGTGATCTGAATTTTACCTTCTCTCATTACTTGTCTATTTCAAGGACTGAACAAACTAGGGAATGAAACATCCATGAAAGAGTTAAGATAGTTGACAGATGAGAGGAGGACTGATTAACTCACAGACTCCACAATTAACAATGAAATCAAATATAAATGGCAAAATGAACAATGAGAGAGAACAGACCTGTCCCCTTTTAACAGGTACTTCTTTTGGTGTGTCTGCATCCCCGGCGGCATTGTCAGTGTATTCCCAGACCACGGTGTCTTTTTGAACATCTTTAAGGTTGAAGTTCCCTAGTTTGTTTAACGAGAATCCTTCGATCTAGGAAAAATTAGACATATACTATTATTATGAGGTAGAAAGGATTTTATAGCAACCAGAGTGTATTAACCCTGGAAGAAATGAAAACATAGCCCATTGAAAACAGAAAAGGTATCAGTTTATGGACTGAGACATCTCTTAATTTAAAAATATTTTTTAAAAGTAAAAAACAAGGTTTTCACTTGCAAAAGAAATGGTGATTTTGTGAGATAATTCTTTAGTAAACAGTCTAAGAGAAGGTAACATGGCCTAGGCCCAAAGCCACAGGTTCTGGAGTAAAACTGCACAGGCTCCAACCTCGGCTCCCTTGTGGGGCTGCGAGACTTTCAGTCAGTACCTTCCTCCTGGTCTCAGGTTTCTGTAAAAATGGGTTACACTAGAACTTCCTCCATGAGATAGTTGTGACATGAAATAATGGACACAAACCAATGACACAGCATATGGCACACAGGGAATGCTCAATGTAAGAAACCGTTTCTACTGATGTTGCTGAGATGCCAATTGCTAAAGAACACAGTCTGGGCTCAAAAGGTCTAAGAAATGTGGAACAAAGTTGAACAGGTTTCTTTATTGTGCAGTGGGCTTACTCATAGCCTTTAAACTGGTTAATGTAGCTAATGAGTCATGGTGTGGGGTGTGGATGCAGTATCCTGTTTCTCAAATGTATTTCCACATCAAATGGGACTACTTTTTTGGTTTAGTACACAGAGTGATCCTTCTAAAACATAAGCCATCATTTCATTTCGCCCACTCACAATGGTTTCCTTCTTACTCAGGATAAAATTCAGTCCCTTCCAGGGCTTAGAAAGAACCTAGGTAATCTGGCCCTTTGCCACTTCTCCATCCCATCTTCTCGATACATCCACCTGGCTCAGACTGCTACTCCCTCTGCTTTAAAGACTCCTCCCCTAACAACCATGGAGCCACACTCCCTGCCTGGCTTGTGCTTTTAGGGCTCTACCTAAGAAATCCTTGCCCACCCTCAGGCTGCAAAGATTTTTTTTCCTTTTTCTTCTGGGAATTTGATTATTTTATTTTATTTTGAGAGCGAGTGAGAGCACGAGTTGAGGGAGAGGCAGAGGGAGAAGGAGTGGCCGACTCTCCACCGAACAGGGATCCCGACAAGGGGCTCGATCTCAGGAGCCTGGGATTATGACCTGAGCTAAAGGCAGACGCTTAACCGAATGAGCTACCCAGGTGCCCGGGGATTTGATAATTTTAACTTCTACATTTAAATCTTTGATCTATTTTGAGTTAATTTTGGCAGATGTTGGGAGGTTAAGGATTGATGTTCATATTTTTTTTCCGTATGAATATCTAGATTCTCCAGGATCAGCTGTTGAAAAGAGTTTCCCCCAATGAAATGCTTATGCACTTTTGTTGAAAACAGTATCAATGCTTCCAATCCACAGACTTGGTATGTCTCTACATTTATCTATATTCTTATTTAATTTTCACAGTAATGTTCTATTGTTCAAGTTGGAAGTCTTACACATCTTTTGTTAAATTTATTCTTAATTAGG